GTGGGCATAAACTTCATTTCTTAATAGCCTGATTCTTGTGACATTTGCTTGTGGAGATCTATCCATGGCTGGTGGCATTGTATTCCATCCTGCTGCAGGAGAGGGTAAACCACAAATGTTCCACAATAGAATATTGAGTAATATACTATCAAAGGTTTTCGAGTCCGGTGGGTTGCCGGATGGAGGGAACAGTAAATCCCAATGAGCATCATTGATAATCTTACACTTTAACCTTAGAAGAGTTATTTTGCTGGCATTAAGGACTGCAGGTAGGCCAGCTGGAGGGTTTATGGAATCGAACGTATTTCTTAAAGCTTCAGTTCCTTTCTCCACCAACAGTCTGCTGAGTCTTGTAATGTTAGTCTTGTCTTCCAGATTGGTGGATACCATTATACTAACGTTGCTGTAACAAGTTAAATATGTCTCAAACAAACTATGCACGCGTCAAAATAAGCTGATCTCGATATAAAATTAATTATAAAAAATAAATATAATATATATATATATATATATATATATAAAGAATTCAAAACCGAGCTTTGTGTTATGAACCGAAGCCGAAAGCTGAGGTTGATAAAACAAACTGACAGTGGCCTTGATAATTATTTATATTATACATTGTAGTCTCTACATGTCTTCTGATTGGTCAGTACTTGTAGCTTCCAGCTAAATAATTATGGAAGTCAAGCAACCTGCATGAGAATCCGCACGGCCGAAAAAAGGTGTCAACTGCACAAAATTTGTGCAGTTCGCCGGATGCAATTACGTCTAATCCCAATAAAATTAATAGGCAAAGCTGTCATCAATCTGGTTCTGTTCGCAGTGGGTATATGAAAATTAGCATGTGGCGTTTAGTTCAATATTTAGAAATAAGTTACTAGCCTTGTAAAATCCCGTAAAATGCAATACAATTGCTTACATTTGCTTACAGAAGCCTGTACACGTGAGGGTTTTCAGCTATATCCCATATATGTTTTATTTGGTTAGATTCTAAATGAAAATATAGCCATGACATGCTGAGTTGCAACTCGCGCAGAAAGGCTTAATGAGTTATGAATATCTGCATATATACCAATGCCATGCATAGAACTCGTACGTGGCATACCGGAATGTGTTTTCATTATAAAAATTTAGATTCAACTGATTAAGCAAAGATGACTACATCTTCTTAACCTGTCAGCAAAAGTTGATTGCATCTTTCTGAACACAAGAGTCTCCCCTAAATTGGTCTTTATAATATAAACACAAATTTGCGCTAGCTTTGGCGTTTGCAAACTGATTTTTAAACAAAAAGATTTCATGTACTCTTTGCGGTCTCTTGATATAGCTACATGTATACATTCTATTTGGCTGGCCAGTTCTAGTCAGTAAATTCGCGCAGAAATAAGACTTGTTGAATTATAACTATGATATACAGGATATAATAGCTACCGTATGTATAGCTGCAACCGCAATTTCATATAGCCTACATGCAACATTTGATGCATGCATAATATAGGATGTGTTATTATATTATAAAGAATTAGGTTCAACTGATTAAGCAAAGATGACTACATCTTCTTAACCTGTCAGCAAAAGATGACTGCATCTTTCTGAACACAAGAGTCTCCGCTAAATTGGTCTTTATAATATAAACACAAATTTGCGCTAGCTTTGGCGTTCATTTGCAAACTGATTTTAAAACAAAAAGATTTCGTGTACTGCATGTTTGCGGTGTCTTGATTTAGCTATACATTCTATTTGGATGGCCAGTTCTAGTCAGTAAATTCGCGCAGAAATAAGACTTGTTGAATTATAACTATGATAATACAGGATATAATAGCCACCGTATGTATAGCTGCAACCGCAATTTCATATAGCCTACATGCAATGATTCATGCATAATAGGATGTGTTATTATATTATAAAGAATTAGGTTCAACTGATTAAGCAAAGATGACTACATCTTCTTAACCTGTCAGCAAAAGATGACTGCATCTTTCTGATCACAAGAGTCTCCGCTAAATTGGTCTTTATAATATAAACACAAATTTGCGCTAGCTTTGGCGTTTGCAAACTGATTTTAAAACAAAAAGATTTCGTGTACTGTTTGCCGTCTCTTGATATACATGTAGCTATACATTCTACTTATTTGGCTGCATGGCCAGTTCTAGTCAGTGCAATTCGCGCAGAAATAAGGCTTGTTGAATTATAACTATGATAATACACTGACCTAAAAATATATAGCTACCGTATGTAACTGCAACCGCAATATCTTATACAATGATTCATGCATAATAGGATGTGTTATTATATTATAAAAATTTAGGTTCAACTGATTAAGCAAAGATGACTGCATCTTCTTAACCTGTCAGCAAAAGATGACTGCATCTTTCTGAACACGAGAGTCTCCACTAAATTGGTCTTTATAATATAAACACAAATTTGCGCTAGCTTTAGCGTTTGCATGCATAGTCAGTGATTTAAAAACAAAAATATTTCGTGTACTGTTTGCGATCTGTTGATTACATTCTATTTCACTGTTTGGCTGGCCAGTTCTAGTCAGTAAATTCGCGCAGAAATAAGGTTTGTTTAATTATAACTATGATAACACAGACCTGCTGTATAAAGCGCTATATACGTAACCCCAATATCATATACAATGATTCATGCATAAAATACGATGTGATTTCATTATAAAAATTTAGGACAACAGCAGCCGACTTTGCTCTGATAGGACTGATTCGAATGCCTTACTTGCCCCAAACGTCGACAACATAACTCTGTCGTGCCAGTGATAACATCTTTAGTCACCCCGGCAAAGAAACGGCGATGCGATACTTGCGACCATCGTCGTCTTGCAAGTCTTCAAGTTTGACCCGTTTAATCGCTGATGGAAAACACTTGAATGTTTTACTAACAAACAACTTATTGTATCAATTTGTATGCATACCAATTTTTCTTATCATCTACGTTGTGCGCAAACACTCGCTTGAACGTCGTCGATGCGCCTCGAATGCTGTCTTGGCGTGTATTATATTCGAATTTGGCGCGCGATTTTTGTTTTTATATGACGACCACAATTTGCAATGTGTAATATGAAGTCGAGATATTAAATTAACTAATTCAGTACTAGTTAATATTAAATGAAGTTTGGTTTCAAAGATACTATTACAAATAAGTAGCAAGGTTGGATAATTAATATATGTCATCAGTTCATCAACTTTGACACAAAACTATGGTTACCAACACCAGAAACGCTAATCCTTTCACACATCGTGCGGATTCTCATGCATAACGCAGTTGTCTATTACCAGATAACTGAGTTATATGCAGTAGTTTGGGCCCGCGGTATGTAAGTTCATAGCAAGCGGCAGTTTAAATACACAACATTTTGAAAACAAGAAAAAACAACACGAACGAACGGCGTTTTTGTGATTTGTTTGTGCAAAAAGCAAACCGTTTTGATATTTTTGTTGCAACTTTAGTAGGTAGATGAGATTCGTAATATTTTTATGCTGTTATTGTGATATTTTAAATCGATTCCACTGATTTAAATTTCTGAGAACCAAACGTTATTTTTTTATTTTGTACGACAAATCATTATTTGATGAGTTTGATGGAAATGCAATCTATAATAAAACAGTTATTGCATGACTTCGGTTTTTGTGACGTCCCAAATTATGAACGTCGAGGTGATTGAGAGTTACCAGTCGATGTAAGTGTTATCAAAAACCTCATCCAATAACAGTTTTACACCCTGTAAAGGATAACAAGTTATCCTTAACGGTGGGTTCAATTCGCCGAAGTAATGATCAGATCATTTTCCATTTACAGAAATTATTTCCCTTTTTGTTTCATAAGTACGTTACTATACGGATGTCAGCGAATTGTGCGAACGCTCAAAAATTCCTATCATGTTCACGGCCACAAAAATTGGCGAGCACGCTTACATATTTTTGCTTTTCCAATTGTAAACAACCAATCAATATTTTTTAGTAACTCTTACTAAGAACCGATTGGCTGTTTAAAATTAGAATTGTAAACATGAAACGAATATGTAGACGTGCCCTTCAACGCTTGTGGATATGAACGTGCATTTAAAGTTTGTTTATTTAAATGGATACAAAACCGAGTCGAATTGTAATTAAAACCCAACGTGTCGACACTCCCGTCTAGTGTCTTCATCAGTGGTGATCTAAAGTTGCAATGTGGCTTCTTAAATATCCAATGGATGACGTTATCTGCCAATAAGATGCATGCACTCTTCTGGGAAATAGGCACCGTCATCCCTATTCAAAACATGATTACTACTCATATTTATATGCCACGCTTCTAGGCATCGTCTTTGACAATAGCGATTGTTTGTTGTAATTACTTTAGAATTTTCCCACGGAATCTTGGGTTTGGTGTCACACGTATGTTCTGCTAAAGCTGGTTTCTCCTTGTTTAAAGTTGAAACAGCTTTTTGATGTTCTTTTAGCCTTGTACCAAACTGGCGTTTAGACTGACCCAAATACTCTTTCTCGCAGTGACTGCATGGTATAGAATATAAAACATGAGGTTTAACAGGATCTTTCGGCTTTGCAAAAATAATGGCCTGATAACTCACGAGGTTTTTATTACACTATTTTTATCAACATTGAGGGGGTCGTAGACCTAGGACCTTTAATCGGCTGGCTTTGACAAAGTTTGGACAGTTTGGGGCTAGCTATATCATTTGATAATTATGACACATCATATCACGTACATGCAAGTATGGCCATAACAGACTGGAACAACTTGGACAGAAAGATAAAACTATCTACGACTACTTCTACATTTAAGAGAAACTTTTTTAGCAATCTTTGAACTAGCTTTCGCTCGTATAATTTTTTAAATATTTTTCACAGTTATGTACCGGGTGTCCCAAAAAAAAGTACTCCTGTTTGATTTGTAATAACTTTTAAACAAGTAAAGCTATCAAACAGAAATAAATTGCATTAAATAGAGGAAGGACTAACTTAGATTTTGATATGTTTCAGTTGTATTTTACTTAAGAATTCACGGAGATATTAATGTTCAAAATCGGGAGCACATTTTGGGATGTGTCTAAAATTAGCGAAAATCGGCATATCAAATATTAACTCCAGCGTTTGTTTGCTTAATGACATATCAGGCCAACTTGTATTTCAGCGAATTGTCGTTAGGGTTTGTAAGAGATATGGCGTAGATTTAGACATCTTACATGTATGTCTTAACTCATTGTTTCCTGAAATATGAACTTTCAAAATTATGCAAGTATTTAATAGGTCTTTGCAAACTTAAAGGTACATGAAAGACCATGCAAGGCAGGCGCTTAAATTTTTCTTAAATAGCCTAATTTTTTTATGTGTTTCATGGGTTCAAAACAAAGTTGATTATTTCTCGGTTAGAGCAGGATGAATATTGTTCTTTAATGGAGGAAATAATATTGCTTTTTGCAAATACACATCACAGTATCAAAGCTACTATTTTGTTACGTTTTGTTCCAAAAATGTTGGATGTCTCTGGGGAGTTGCTTGTTATGTCTTTACTTATGGAGTTGTATGCCTAGTTTGATTTTGTTTCATTCTCAGTTTATTCTGAACTTGCCAAGATTAAGAAAGGCAAAAGAGTTTGGGTGTTCTTAACAAGATTTCAGAACGTTGCAGCCGGTTAGAAAATTCATTCAATGTGAAGTTAGAAAATTCACAATTCCATTGTGACAGCTAGCATGCCCTAATTCAGAACTACGAACGAACGATCCATGATGATCCTTCGTGATGCAGTGGTCTCATGAAATAAGGAAACGTATTCGTGCCAGGAGCACACGCGGATTTCGGACGAATAAATTTTGCTTGTATAATAATACTTTGTTTCATAATAAACAATTTGTCAAGTGTAATTTATTTACTGGTAATAGTGCATGTTTCAGTCGGGCAAATCTTGATTAATATTTGATACGCCGTTTTTTGCATATTTCAGACACATCCAGAAATATGCTTCCGATTTTAAACATTAATATCTCCGTGAATTTTTAAGTGAAATACAACTGTAATGTATCAAAAGCTAACTTAGTCTTTTCTCTATTTGATGCAAGTTATTTCTCTTTAAAAGCTTTACTTGTTTAGAAGTTATTACGAATCAAACCGGAGTACTTTTTTG